TTATGAGATTTAAAGGAACAAAAGGCATAAAAATAGATTTATGTAATAGAAAGAGTTGGTACTGCCACACTAAACAGTACAATATATGATTCAGATCCATGTTCTTTCACAGGCTTTTTTTGTTGAAAACAGGTACAATTTTTCTTGCCAATTAATGCAAGCCTAATATTTTATTCCAACACTGCTAATCCATACAGGAGAGCCACTTTGGAATACAGTCTGAATATCTAAGATTACTCAAGATGACATAAAATAAATTCCTCTCCAAATTCATTCCCTCCCCAACGCCCCCAAGCCCCTAAAACCCCCAAACTAATGACTAAAAAAAAAAAGAAAAATTTGTATTTGACCTCTTTTGATCTCTCTCTGGCTCCCTTTTCATCGGATTGACTATCTCATACTGGCAGTTGCTGGCTTCTTTCTGTAAATCTTTCATTGTAAGTGAGGAGAGCCCAAAAGTTTCAATTTTGTTATTACTGAGCCAACATGACAGAATATGCTAACACAAGCCCTGTTAACCATACTTATATTATATCCAGGCTGTTTGTTGGGACTTTGCATAAGTCTTCGGCATAGGCTACTAGCTAATATGAACTGGCTTAAAAAGCCAATTCAGTCATACTCTTCTGCCATCTGAAAGAAATAAAGAATGGTGTGACCTTTCTCTTGTGGTCTGATGTCCCCTAGCCATCACACACACAGACACATAAACTCACTTACTTCTGAGGATTTTAGAAGTAAATAGACACTATTGAGTTTCATTTGGTCAGAGTAAAAGGCACTGATCAGCAAAAGGGCAGGTGACAATTGACAACGATTTAAATAAAATTTTACTGTTTCAAGGAACGGAAACATGTAGCTGAAGTTTTGTTAGCCATACAAAGAAAAAGAGTGTGAAAGAAAGTAGCGGGCTTCCTGTTCAGTAGAGCTGCAACTCATTCTTAATATTGTCTAGACATGGGCCCAAGATTAGAAAAAAGTACTCTCTGCTTTCGTTATGGATAATGCAGGTGCTTGGAGGCAAAGGCAATATACCTACTGGGTCTAAAGACAGTGGCAGACAACTACTGCTCCAGTCCTAGATACATTAAGTTACATAAGGGAAAAAAAATGAGCAAATTAATAACATGTATGCAAACCAATCTGATGTAAATTTGGTTCTGTATGACATATACCTATGACAATTCCTTATCAACATAACCACTTAAATAAATATAATTATTTAAAAATCATCACATTAAGGAAGGGTATATCTTACCTTTTGTTATATATTTCTAACTTTTTTCTACTACCTGAAATTCTGATAAACATTTTGTTTAATAATTTCCATTTCTTAAGTGAGTTGGAGGCTGCATAGTTACCTGAACCTTTGTGTGAAGTTAACAGTGAAATATATTGGTTTTGATTACTTTGGCTACTAGAAAACAACAGACCCAAGTAACAGCACTTCTGTAAGCAGCACTCTGCTCTATATAATCCTAGATAAGTATATAATCTGTACAAAGGACATTTTCACCCAAATAAGCTTTAAAACAGTATTCATACAGAGGTATTATTCAACAGGAAAAGAAATCCATTAACATGATGCAAAGAAAAAGCAAATCATGTTCTCTCAATAACTGGGCCAGATAAGATGCCAGTTATTGATTTAATTTGGGATACCAAATACTAAATCTTCTGCTGTATCTAAGCACAGTTTTTCTTTTGGAACTCTCATAGTGATGTATTTTTTATGTTTAAAAAATAAGAATCCTATTTAAGAGCAAAAACTATCTTCACAGAGCCAGATTTTCTTTAGCTGCTGGGAGAAATTACTATGCTGAAATTTCCTTGCATAAATATTGTCTTTAAATTTAATTTTTTTTTCATTGATGTCCTCCAAGCATTGAAGCATTTTTATTTTGTGCCTCTCCAATGTGATTTGATGACTTGCCCAAACGCAGGCCTTCTAATTTATCCTACTATTTCAGAGATTATTTCCTACGTGTACTTACTATCTTGTAAAATAATTCCAAACAGAAAGGTCAAGCTTCTTACTACAGAATGGTGGGATGGGGAAAAAGGACAATGACTGAAAATGTTTTCCACCCATAGTCAGTCAGGGGAACACAAGTGTGACCTTGGGCCCACAAACATTTCATCTACAATATAAATCAATATAATAGCTATTTTCCCTATGCTGTATGTTGTAAGAATAATAGAATAGTTTTTTGTGAAGCATGAGGTCAGAACCATCCTCTAATAAATATTGTGCAATTGGGTAAATAATTACAGCAGGCTGAATGACCCTCATGTATTAGGTTACATTTCCTCTGTCTACTCTGATACCAAGAGGTTTCAGAATGAAGTGGGTCTCCATGACTTGGCAGACTTCTGTATTATTAGCACCAACGAAAATGCTTAAAGTGGTGTCTGAGCAAGCTGAGGCATTAGCACCAAGCTTCCCAAATTTTTCTTTAAAAAAATCGAAGTATTTGCCAGGAATGTTGCAATGTACTGCAAAATACCAAATAATCCCATTAGCACAATATATGACAGATTCTTCAGATATGCCAGATGAGTATTCCCCATTTATAGTAGACAAAAATAGAATTACGCACATAGATAATAAGAATTCATGCAGTGCAAGTAATATTCGTGAGTGTTCCTGAAGGGTATACAACTATTATCATCTAGTCCATAAAGCTACAACATTTTAAGAAGCTACTGTCTTCTGCAGCTTGCTCTGCTCCTCATGTAAAAGCTTCTCAGTAAGACTCAGCCATCCACAGGGGGCCAGAGATGACTAAGACTATATTTGAAGCTGCTGCTGGATTATTCAGAGGTCATTTGTCAAAGTACTAACATCTAAATTAACCTGGTTGTATTCTCAGAAATGACACCTTGGAATAGATAAAAGACTGAATGCCACAAAGGATTTTCTAGTTCATGAAATACTGCCAGAAAGCACATGCAGAAGATCAGAGCAACTCAGGAATCGGATAATTTTGAGCATACTTCTAAAACCGATTATGTGGTCAGGAGTCATGTGATCAGGATACAGGACTGGTCAGGGGAGACAGATGTCAACCTGACACTAGGAATACAAAGACTTAGCTGAGAATAATGAAAAAGAAGAGTTAGTTTGCAAGATGAGGCTACTTGTATTCTTGTATTTGTAGCTATATCTCATTCCGTGAATAAAGTGGAGGGAAATCAACACATGATCTAATGCAATTGCTGTCTTGGCTACATATTTCCTTTATATTGTTCACAGCCTCAATATATCATATTGTAGTAAGAGTTCAGACAACTAAAGCAGTGAAAAATATTAATATCATTTTTTTAGTATCTGTATCAAGTTTTATTGGAACATTTCTACCACTGTTTGGGTAGTAAAATCAAATTAGCTGTTTGGTTTTTTTTCCTGTGGGTTCCAAGAGATGTCTAGTGTTACCTATACTAACTGTCCAAAAACCGCAGGTCAGAATGAAAATAAAATAGTGATTTCTAATAGCTGTTTATATTTCAGTTTCAGTTTTTGAATTCTTAGATAACATTTGGGGCATATTTTTATACTGGGATAGAAGTGCTAAAAGTGTAAGAAGAAGCAACCTAGAAATTCTTATGTAATCAAAAGACTCCAGAAGGAGTTTAAAGAAAATAACGACGAGCTTGCAATAAAATTTTGAGAGCTGGCAATAATTAAATTTCATTTTCTGGAGAAAAAAAATGAAAGGAATGTAATAATTCTTAGCTAAACACTCTAATAGAATGTTATTTATTTACTTTTATACTAGAATTGAAAATAAACTGTAGAAAGAATTCTATTCCTGTGTTTTTGTAAATTTGAAACTGAACATGATCTGACAACTGCCTGTCCACTCCAAAAATGAGTAAGCATGAAAAGCTAATCTCTGAACCCTTACTGTCTGACTTCAGAAAATAATTAAATTCTTTTACATGCTTAAATCAATTCTTATCTTGTGCATATTACTAGGATACAACTGCTGACAAAAATTAACCAAAACAAACACATACATCAAAATTCAGTATTAAACTCCCCTTAATTTCTGCAAGAATTCCTTTTGTCTCTCAGGTAATTTTAATTGCAGTCTGCATTACATTTATAATACTTCTTTTTTTATGAAAATATAGATATTTATATAGTATTTTTTCATGAAATATTTTCTATCTCTAAAGGAAGCAACTCTGTTGAGTAAAAAGTGTCTAAAAACTTGAATCAACAGACATGGAGTCTCACTTTGTTACTCTAAACTCAACCACAGTAGGAAAGGGAAGTTCAAATGTACAACTTTGCATCGCTGCCAAAATACACGATCTCTGTCTCAATAAACTGAGTCAGTTGAGTCCCACTGTGATGATGGAGTTCAGGCTGCAAGAAGAGTTCATGTTGGGCTGAGTCTGCAGTACCACCCTAGAATGCAATGTGCAGTATCTGGTTTTTATTCTCTTTGGGCTGGGAATTTATAGCAAACAGTTCTTTTGGGAACAGTGTTAGCAACTGAAATATTGCAGCACAAAGTGGCCTCCCAGTAACTTTTAGGTACTGCTACAATGCGCACAGATAATAAAAATAGAATCCTGCTTGTTCATCTGAAGTAGTTTCTGAATTTAAGTGATTGTAAGTAACTGTAACTTAAACCTGATGGTCAACTGAGGCAAACAGAAGGACATTTAGCTTAGAATTTCCAGCAAAAAAATCCAGCAAGATAATTGAGGCAAAAAGAAAATTATATAACAAGATGTCAAAACCCCTTTATCTTGGAGTGGGAGCAAGTATTTTTTCTTCTTTAAAAGCTAGTGTCTGTAAAATAATATATAACAGTAATTTAAGTACATTGATAAAACTAGAAAGTGTTTTAATTGCTGCAAATATTTTTTGACTAAATTACCAGTGCTTATATTTCTTTTCAACTTGTTTGTTTTCCTGAAGTCTTTTTTTTTCTTTTTAAGACAGTATGAACTGTTAAACAAAATCATACGGCTTGGCTCTGTTCTGAGCAAAAACAGCTTTATCAGCACTACTGCTGTGCACTCTGCTGTGACTTAACCTGACTACACCTTAACCTCTCCATCACATAAACGGAGGTAAACTATACTTATATGAATTTTGCGGCTTGCCTGAGATATTCACATTAATACTTCTGTTCAAAATTCTCTTATTATTTCTGATTGATAAAAGCTGATAATGTAGCATTTTTTAAAATTAAAGCTGAATTTCTTATTTAATTAATTCCAGTACTTATACTTTAATCTGTCTGCAGTCACAAAATCAGTACGTTTCAGTGCGTTGCCCAGCAGTGTACAATACTAAAACATACAAATTGTTGTAAAACTGATTTCTAATATTAAACATGAGTAGATTGTGATGCGCTTGCATATGTTCATGGCTCTCATGTTGTATACATGTGCATGAATTCAACGGGCTGGTAAAAGGGAGGATGTGTGGGTGTATGTTCTCAGCTGCCATCCCTAGGGTTAGGGAGAGTCTCATCTGCATCCTCTGCATACTCAACAAGTTTGGTGGTCATGGATGGTGTTACCCCTTCCAACAACCACTCCTTGGGTTAAGAAGGGTATCATGTCTTACATATTGAGCCTAGGTGGTCACGTACTCTTCATACCCTGTTTCAGGGTGATGGAATTCTGCTCTTCATTTTCCATGTAACCCTCCCATAACCAGGTGACTCTCCCAGTTATGACACAGGCTACACAACACATGCAAGGTCAAGGTCAACTCTTTCCTTGTTTAATTTCACTTAGAAACAAATTAACAATGAAACTATCAACTCCCGGTGCTCAGCTAAATGCACCTCCTCATCTTATGGCAACATAAACCCAATCTCCCTCTGCCAGGACAGCCGAACTCTGGAATCTGCTTCCCCCTCTTAATGACTTCCAGCTGTCCATCTCTCCTTCTAGGCTTCCTGTTGCTGGCAGGTGCTATGGGGTGGGGAAAACTTCATCTCCATGTCCAGGACACTGATAACCACCTCCTTCCTCTGGGCTTTTTTTCCTGCTGACACGCTGTAATTTATATTAGTAGCTTGTGTTTTTCATTGCCTTGAAGAGTGCAGAACCAAGGTCTGTGACCTCATTTAAGAGACAATGAAAAAACAAAGCCTTCCTGATGGCGAAGGTAAGTGGAAGATTCTAACAGGAAGGCCATGTTACAGACTCCTTCGGCATCACGATGTAGCTGCCCTGGGGAATGTAACCTATTGATTGATGTTTACACACCCAGTCTATACACAAGGCAGCGTGTACTAGAGAAGTTTGCAGTAAACCAGAGCAACTTTCCCCATGAAGCCATGTCCTAGGAATTTTTGATAGATTTTAGGAGTCTACTTGGTTTTCTGTCTTGTCTTTTTGGGGGTAGATAAGACCTCTGCTGTATTCTTCTCTGGTTATGAGATGAAATTGCACTTTCTTGTGAAAAGTGAGTCACACTAATGGTGGAACTCCAGGTCCCTGCATCAGTGAATCTAGGGCTGCCATGCTGATCTTTTCCAGCTCTGCTTTTTTAAATTCTGCTAATTCAACTGAATATATTATAAGGGTAGGAATGACGTCTGAAGTAGTATCCTTTATAACATGCAGTTGGGAAAAAAAAAAGTGTAGTTTTGGTCAAATACTTTCTTCACCATTTTTTTCCATTTAAATGGTCTGCCTGTTCTCTTGGTAACGACAGGTGATATGATATCAGATATTACTTCTCCTTACAGACCTTGCCACTTTTATATCCCCAAACTATTCTTCCTATAACTGTAATCATTTATAGCTGTCACAAAAGTGAAAAGAATGTCCCCTGCAGCCCTGAATGCATACATAAGTGAAAAACCCCAAACCAAATCTACATCACAAAACATCCAGAAACTTTTACTGGAAACAAGTATGTTTTGAATTCATTGTTTAAACAAGATCTAACATATTTCTGGGGTTATAATATGTTCTTGAGAAGCACATAAATTACTAAAATATTGAGGACATTGCCAAAACCTGCTAGAAATATTTTCAGCAATTTTGTGTGTAATATGAACATGATTCCATGAAAGATGTGGAATATCCCAACTGCAAAAAAAAGCCAAACCAAAAATATCAATGCTTCTGCCTCCAAGGCAAATTAGGGAGCACTTCTCTTTGAGTAACTTTCACAAACACTGTAAGTGACAAAAGCCCTAGCAACTAGGTTTGAATCACACAATATATTTCTGGTAGACCTCTTACAAGTGGAAAAGCCACAAAAAAATTGCATGCTTACTCAACAGGTATGTATTAGGAAAATTTCTTGTGCTGACCCAATTCAAACTGAATGTAGTTTCATTTGAAAAAAGTGAAATCCAGAGGGAAATATTTAGGATTGGAAGAAATCTGCCTATCAGATTTGTATCTGATAGCTGTAAATGCAGGTATTCCAAAATACAAAGATTTGGGAGAAAGATAATGCACAGAATACTCTGTTACAAGGCAAGGTCTCTCAATTCACCAAAACTTGCTAACCACACACTTTAAGTTTTCTAAAATATTCTAAGAATTATCATGAATACTGTTTGGGTTAATAATTAGAAAGTTTTTCTAGAGAATCAACTTATGAAATGGCAGGAAAAACATGCAAAGGTGATTCATTATATAAAAATGTCCTTAAAGTAAGTATCTTGCAATGGGAAAGTGTTAGTTGTGTGTTTATTGCGGTAACATGTTGTGTCTACACAAAAAGCATATACACAAATTTCTCTTCTAAAGTTCTAAAGCCGTAGGGAATTGTGGTCTTTTGTTTTGTGTTGTGTCAAGCTGTGAACCTAGCCCCTGTAATAAGTGAATTTTTTCGGCTAAACTTTGAATGACCTTGTACTTGGAAAATGTTTTTAAATACTGTTTAGTCATTGTAGTTGTTTAGCAGTTAATCCAAGCATATTGTTTTTAAGTAAGGTTAGCTTCTTGTTGCCCAGATGTAATATGGAATAAACGGTCAAGGGGACAATGATAAAAATATTAGGAAACAGAAAGCAGAGAAGATGGTTATTAAAAGGCAGGGATGTGGAAAAATGAAAGGCTACGTAGAATCATGTTAACTTACGGTAAAGGAGAATTAGAAAACCCTAAAAGCAAACAAAAAGTTTAATATATAAACATGTTAAAATTATGACATGATAATGGTCATTATAGTCAAATGCACATGTAATAACACACAAAGATAAGTAACTGAAAGTGCAAGATCACAAATATGAGATGATACAATATACAATGACTATAAAAGTTACAATAAAAATTATAAAGGATGTTCTGAGGAGAGACATAGTATTGATCCAGTAATTGTTGAATCTCCTTAGATTTCCATATAACTGGAAGAAAACAGTCAATGCAGTCTCTCACCTTGAAGTTTACATTTGTAATTGTACATGCAATAATTGCAGTAATAGTAAAAACGCTTACAAAAATATATTAAAGAAATAGATAATTTGGGCTAGAGTACTGTAGCCACTTTTCTTTTCTGAGAAGGGACTCTACAGATCAATATGCAGCAAAAATCAAATTTGACAGGCAAAGCTATCCCCAAGGATGCAGAAATCCTTCTCCTACAGCCAAAGGTGGAAGGATTGGGTATTCTAACATATTCTAATTCACACAAAGCTTAAACTTCCTTTGCTTCTCTGCAAGCACACACACACAAAGAATTTTGTTTCTTGTTACAGGTAACTTTTCCACAAACAGTACAAAAGTTACAAAGGAGGGAAAAAGAAAATATACTTCTTTATAAAAACAGGTATGATATTCCTGTAGCAAGATACTGACATCGGTGAAATGCAATAATTGGTGCTTCTTTCCAGGCTAAAATATATTCTGCCCTCATGTTTCAACTTCTTTTTCCATTTGTTTGGGGGAAACTCTGCCTGTTATGAGTACTTTGCTTCCCAAGTAGGCTACAGGAAATGCACAAGGATTTGCTTTGGCAGTGCTATTTAACCCTTTATTGAAAAACCAGGTACTCTGCATATCTGGATCTTTAAACCAATACATTTCTATAACTGCACCGGCCCAAATATTTCACTTACTTGTAATAGTTAGATCTTCCAACCTTTCAGTTGGAGGTGCTGAAATCCAACTCTGGGAGAGATAAATCTGAATAACCTTCCTGTCTGAGAAGTTATGTTCATGCATCCTAAAGTGCTATCACGACCTGCTGTAAAAACAGGTTTCTGACATTGTCTTGCAAACGTTATTACTTAATTCAGAGAAAAAGAAAAAAAAGAACCATATAAACAAAAAGGAAAAGGGAAGATGCATCTCACTGAGGTGTGCTCACAGCAGAACACCCAGAAAAATTTCATTACCTCAGCAATATCTTTAAGTACCTGAAGGGAGGGTGTCCTCCTGGTGCTGAGCAATAGGACAAGAGGCAGAAAGTGGTCCACGAGAAGCTCCATCTGAACATGGAGGAAGAACTTCTTTACTGTGAGGGTGACCGTGCACTGGAACAGAATGTCCACAGGTGTTGTGGAGTCCCCCTCACTGTAGATATTCAAGAACTATGCGGACACAATCCTGTGCCATGTGCTCTGGGACGACCCGGTTTGAGCAGGGGGTGGGACCAGATGACCCACTGCGGTCCCTTCCAACCTGACCCGTTCTGCCATTCTATGAGCCTGTGATCTGCACAGTTCATATGGAAATATCTGGTATCTCAACAGAGACACGGCATAGGTGCTCCTACAGCTCAGGAAGGGCAGGAATCCGCTGGATTCCCAGGCATTTCCAACATCCCTCTCTTAGCACCCTGGCTAGACAGTAGCTGCTGCTATAGGGACTGTGAGGAAAAAAGAAGTCTGGACTTGGACACCGGGGGGGGGTGAGGGCTCACGTAGCCCACCCATCCGAGGTCCCGTTCCTCGCAAGTAGAATGTCTCCCGCTCCCAGTCTCCCGCCTCGGGACAACCCGCCCCGGGACAACCCGCCCCGGGACAACCCGCCCCGGGACAACCCGCCCCGGCAAGGCGCATGCGCGGCGGCGGCTCGGGCGGGCGAATTCAAACGCGCCCCTCGCCCCTTCTCCTCGCCGGGGCAACGCTGACGTCATTGACCGCGTCCTCCCCTGCCCTGCGGTTTCCGGCGCTCGCCCGCGCCTGGAGTGCGGTGGAGCGGGGCAAAGTTTTCATTTCTGTGGTTCACGGCGACGTTTCTCTCCCCCAGGCGCGGGCGGGGGTTGCGTGAGCCCGCTCCGCCCGGCGCAGACCCTCCTGTATCCTCGCCGTCCCTGCGGGAGCAGCGGCGAGGCGCTCTCGGCGATGGCTTTGTGGGGCGTGGAGGCGGCGGCACGGCGGGTGGCGGAGCTGGAGGAGGAGCTGCGGGGTCTGGCGGAGGAGCTAAGCAGGTGCCAGGTACCGGAGCGCGGGGTCGCCCGGAGCTGGGCTGGCGAGTCCCCCGGGTGCTGCGCGTTCGCGTCCCGCTCCTGGGGGGCCCGGAAGGTAAGGACGGAGAGCAGGGCCCCGGGCAGTTCCGGGACGTGAATTAAACCGGTCCAGGCCCTTGCCCTGGCTGAAACCACCTGTCCTGAGAGCTTTTTCGTTCCTCCCCAGAAGCCACGGTTTGCTTGAATTGTAATGGCAGTAGTCCCGATGTGCTGCCTTGTGCAATTCCGGGGAAAAATGAACAGGCAGAGGGGTTTTAGAGAAATGTAGGTCTTGAAGGAACCTTTGGAGGTCATTTAATCTCTCGCCCAGCCTTGCAGTGGGATTAAGTATACCCGAGCCGTTTCTGAGGAGGGAGGGCTTAATGACTAATTATGGGTGTACTTTGAAAAGTTCCCCCCTGTGTCTCTCCTTGAGACTCCTTTCATAGGTACGCTGCCCTCATTTTTAATTAGTTGTTCATCTCTGACATTTATGTGTGTTTCCTGAAAATATAAAAGTGTTGATAGTACGAAATGAGTGAAAACTCTCTGCCAAACACGTGGGTTACACCAGAAGTATGCAGCAGAGAGGAAGGTGACATTTAATGCTGCAGATGCTTTCTTGCTTGATGGAAGCCAAAATAGTACTTTCATGTGGCATGTGGTCTGGTTAAAGCCACGAAGGCCTGGGCTGACGTGGTCATCAAAAGGAAGCATCCACCTTGGAGTTAGTCGAGGTTCCCTTCTCCAAGCAGCTTTGGTACACCTGACAACTGGCATTGGTTCCTGCTGTGGGTAGAATTCAGACTTCTTGAAAAAACATACTGCATAGAAGATCTATGGGGAGAGGGATCTGTTAATGAAAATCCTGTTTGGAAATGCTGAACAGTGCTGAATGCTCAATGTCTTGTGGGAGAAGTTCAGAAAACTCTTTATAAAGATATATATTCCTAGTATGCAGATGTGCACTATCAGATGAAATTTGGTGGAAGCAGGAGGAAGGCCCAGTCGTCTGCTCATTTGGTAGTTGAACATAAATTATACATTACTAAAACATAGTAATTTTGAAGAGCATTAAAAAGAATAGAAACTTGGAAGTAAACAGTACAATTATGTGCAGTACACATTCAATTATGTGTGCATTTCTGCTTGTCTCTTGATGAACACATTCCAGTTGTTTTAAAGTCAGAAAACAGAAAATATTTTAGATATATTTATTTTAATTCTTTTGCATATTATCTTGCCGTTCTTGTATCTTTGTCTTTTATTAGATCAGATAGTTTTCTGGGAGGGAAGCAGGCAAAAAAGAACAGGAAATAGTTGAAAACACAAGCCAGTCAGTGTTCTGCAATAATCTCTCCAGCACTAGGTAGAATCCAATATATACCATCTTTCTAATGACAGGGGATGCGTGTCTGCAGGATTTATTTCAGGTTATTAATAAACTAAAAAGGAAAGTGAGGTAGTAATCTATAAACAGGGTTTCTCTGAAAGCACTGCAATGTAGACATCTTTACCATTTTACTAATCCGTCAATAAATTTAGACAGGTTTAAGCATGTGTATGTTATGTAAAGAACAGGGAAGCCGGATTTTAATAAGTAAAATAGGTGATAATGTAATAAATTATGCAGCTTTTTCAATGTAGTATTATATAAGGTAATTAACTTTTTAAAAAGAAAGTTTTGTGAAGATATTCTGAATTTGAAGGGGAACTAAAATAGGCTTCGGTAAGATTCTTCAATTGGTTTCAAAGTCAACTGATAAAATTATTTGGGGATGATTAATCCATTTTAAGGTCATATTTTGTGAAAACTTTATGGAAAGACAGGCTATTTGAAAACATAAATACATATGGGTAATGTCAATGTTATGTTTTTCTAGTTTCTTCACAGTTGTAATATGAAGTTTTTGCTGGCCAACTAATTCCTTTTGTGGAATTTTCTTTGATCTGCTATGGTCTACTTAGTTTCATTTAAATCTAAGAACTTTTTTGGTTCTTGTGATGTCTTCGAAAATTTGGAGGTCTTTTTAGTAGAGTTGTGAAACCATTTATTTTGGAAGGGACCTCTTGAGAGAATGTATTACATCCCACCCTAGAGCAGATTGCTCAGGATGGTGTCCAGTTAGGTTTTGAGTGTTCCCATGACTGGAGACTGCAACCCCTCAGGACAACCTGTGGAGGTGTGTGAAGACCCTCGCATAGAGGGTTTCAGTGTCTAGTGAGATTTTGCTTGTCCTATATTCCATGCTATTGGGTAAGGCTATCCCTTCTGTAGACTGCCTTAGCAGGCATTTTGGATAGAAATGTTATGTAAGTGTCTTTATAAAAGATGTTAGTGAGAGGGTGTTAACTTTTAGTCCAGCAACTGGACACAATTGCCTGGGATTTTTCTTTCTTTTTTTTTAGTCTTTTTCCTTCTGAGTAATATGTTCACAGACACATAAATTGCATTTCCAAAAAAAGCTTCCCAGCTGAAATCTAATTTAGTAGTTTAACAGTGAACAAAAGGATTAGTCTTAGGTATTTGTTTTGGTATTAGCCTCTTGAATACTTTTTTCCAAAGAAAAAAAGACATCAAATGATTGATGCTGAAAGCTTTAATTTGTTCTAGGAAACTCTAGTCAAAGTTTTAGAGAAGAGATGTATGCATCCACCAGTTATTTAGCATTTGAATAAATTATGCCAAATTTCTCTTCTACACACCTTCTTGGACCATTATATTCACTGTAATATAAACTGCACTTCTGAAATGAAGTCTTTTCAGGGAACTGCAGCCCACTGATGATATGGGGTCCATTGGCTGAATACTTGGGAGCCTTTTCTGGCTAATGCAGCTCCTGAATCTGGTGGAAGTATTGTGCATGCTAGCTTTGCTCTAACCACAGGTATTCCAGGCATCTCCTTCTTGTCTCTGTTCTGCAACAGAATCCTGGAGTACCTGACCCTTTTACTCATCTGGGATGGTGCCCTTTCTGTTCAAAATGAGATTCTTATTCATATTTATTCTGTCTTTTAAGATAACACTTCCCACTAAGTGAAGGTTCCTACAGAGTCAAATATGGTATTTTTTTACTTCCTTTTTTTTCCCCCCTTTCATTCATTCTTTTCTAAAGCTGAGATTCTACTGGTAAGTCTTGACTTCTGCAGCTTAGGTTTGGAGTATTTGATATTTTCTTTAGTACTCCTCCAAACATTGTGGGAGCTTGAATCATAAGAAGCAAGACCTTGGAGTAGGACATGTTAAAATCACAACAATTTTGTTGCAGTCAGTCTGTGAAAACTCATGTTGACTTGTAATTCTGTGATAGAATTTGCAAAAATGAGAAAGCCAAGTTCCCAAATTGTCTACTGAGGAACCTGGTATAAAGCTGAAAAGGTATGTCTCTATAGTATGCTGTTTTGGGAAAGTTATGGTTGTGTCTGCAATAAAGCACCCTATAATTATTCTGATAATAATTTTTAACCTAAGTGCTCCTCTTCTCCTTTTTTTACTTGAGAAATTAAGTAATTGTTCTGGAAAACAACTGAAAACATGAAATTGCTTTTTATTTTTAAATTTCTGTTTTCATTGGGACTTTGTTACATTTCTGTGAAGGGCTTGATGCTGTTGGGGGGCAGTGAAAAGGCAAAGATGATGGTAAGATATGGCACATCTTGTCTCTATTGTTTGTGTTAACTGCTGCATTTCATTTCAGGGTTTTATGCTGCTGCCTACGACCGTAAAATTTCAAGATCCTCCCATGGAAGATCTTTGATACCTGTGTTCTTATTACTCTCAGTAGATTTTGTTTCTGCTTGGTGTTTAAAAGATCTGGCTTATGTTTTAACCTCATATTATTTTCTGTTGTGCTGTTTTCACGAAGCATAGTGGCTCCTGGTGAAGGAAATTAGAGTGGTTTGGTTGGTCGTGTGTGGGGTTTTTTGTTTGTTTGATTGGGTCTTTTTGGTTTTGTTTTTTTTGGGTTTTTTGATAAGGAGAATGATACGTGAGTGGCGTTTCTGAGCCAACAGTACATTTTGAGCTTTCATATACTTTAAGCTCATGTGTTTCTTTAAACCACCTGTATCCTCTATATTGATTCACAGCATATTCCCTGGTTGGTTTCCGGCAGTCTTTTTTTTTTTTTTTTTTGTGAAAGACACTTCATTTGGTATCAAAATGGTATTTGGTGTAAAATTATGTTCATTCCTCAAGCAGAAGATACGTATTTGGTGTCCTAGCTTTCAGTCTCTTGCTAAGGTACACACTCTTTCATGCCCCACTATTCTGTAACTAAAAAGATAGGAGTGGTTCTTTCAAGTATTCTGTGATGGGAAACATCATCAAATCCTTGCTTTGGACAAGACAGTGTGATTCAAGACTGAGTTTTCCACAACCAGCAGTATTACTGGTAATACAGAAAGTTGGAAGAAGCAAATACGTATCTTCTGTTTTTACTTATGCTATTGGTGTTGTTCACAAGAGGGCTTTGGTTTGTTTAACTTTATTTCATATTTTTCAGCCTAGGACCTCTTCATTTGTTGAAAATGCTGTTTTGAGTTCAAACAAGTGTCCTAACAATTTTTCCATTATTAGTTTAAAAAAAAGCACTATCAGCCTTCATTTTATTCATTGCAGTTTTGCTCTCAAAGGTAAGGTGGCGTTTCTTACTGCTGAAAGGATGCTGTGTTTTCCTAATTGAGGACTTCCTTTCTAAAATTGTGGTTCTGCAAAAACTGAAGTGCTTATAATGCCTACTCCTTTTCTGTGTTAGGAATTTAGTACACCATTGCATGGTACTCTGCACAGTTTATACTCGTGGCCCAAAAAGTACAGTCTGTCAGCCGCCAGTGGTCTGCAGACCATATCGTTTAGTCGAAGAAACCATTCTGCCCTATATGGTTTTCATTTTACAAATGCAGTTTATACATTAAAAATAGATAGTTCTCCATTAGTAAAAAAGTTTGAAACTGATCAGTAATATGTCTGTGACTGTTCTGCTGCTG